ACGAAGTCAGATTTGGGCGTTCTTTTTATGCACGCTCTCGGTTTAACGTATACTACAACTTTTGTTTAGATTAGTAAGGCAAAAAAGTCCTCTATCGTAAATTCACTATTTACGTCGCGTAGTGCCGTGCCGGTTTTGTCGCGAAACTTCGATGGGCCATAACTTCTTCGTTATAACTCGGATTTCGGCATTCTTTATATGTACGGAACCCTTGTGACATATTCTACAACTTGGTTAAGATTACTCCTTCTAAATAATCTTCCATCAAAAACTCATTTTTGATGCTCATTGTCTCTAAATTGACTAGCCCGGATCTACGGACGTTACAAGAGGTCACAAAAGTGAGGATGTTATAGTAATCGTGTGATATACCATTATTGTATACGGTATCATAAACAACACTTAGAAATGCAGTAGGAGCGGCTTCAATCACAAAGTAACTGAAGGAAAAAAAATATGGTGGTTTCAGACACATATTTAGGACATAGGCGACGGTTTTCACTCCAGAAGGTGGAGACGGTCGTTGTAGATCGAGCGAGGAAGAGAGAACATATACTTCGGACATAGGCGCCGGTTTTCACTCCAGAAGACGAAGACGGTCGTTGTGAAGATAATACAATGTTAGATTTAAATGAGGTTTTTCTCTAATCAAACCTCCTGTCCTTGTAAAGAGAAAAACCTCATTTAAATCTAACATTGTATTATCTTCACAACGACCGTCTTCGTCTTCTGGAGTGAAAACCGGCGCCTATGTCCGAAGTATATGTTCTCTCTTCCTCGCTCGATCTACAACGACCGTCTCCACCTTCTGGAGTGAAAACCGTCGCCTATGTCCTAAATATGTGTCTGAAACCACCATATTTTTTTTTCCTTCAGTTACTTTGTGATTGAAGCCGCTCCTACTGCATTTCTAAGTGTTGTTTCTGGTACTTTATACAAGAATGATATATCACACGATTACTACAACATCCTCACTTTTGTGACCTCTATATCCTGCTTGTGCTCATCATTAATAACATTTAGAACCATTTATGGGATAATGACTTGAAATGGTAACAAACTTTTAATTTTGTTCATATCTAGTCATTGAACTTTTTTCATGCTTGATTTACCCTTGAATTATTTGAAATTGTTTACATTTTAACCTTATGACCGGATAAAAGCGGTCACAAGGGTAACACTTACACGTTTCTACAAGTTCAATGGTTAATACATCACGAAAAAAAGTTTAGTGACCAAATGTGATCAAAAGTTAAAATACGTTACTTTCTCAAGTCATTATCCCTTCTATATATATACCCAAATATTTTTTTTACACATCGTTAATTATATATTTAAGTGTCTTATGTAAAGAGAAAAAAAAGGCATGGTCATTCTATATACTTACAAACGATATTGTTAAGAGACTTAAAAAACATTGTTAACAAATAAACGTTCTTTTAGCCATATGATTTTATCTTGCGCAACGCGTGCGTATACGCTTACTATATATATACTAGGAAAATTCTCTCACGTTGCACAGTAATAAAACTATGTTGATTTAAATTATAACAAATATATTACGTAAAATACAATAATATTATTAAATATTGATATGTGTATGGTATTAAAAATAAGTCAATAATTGTTTACGCTAGTCTGTATAACACATTCTAAATATTTTGTATGATATGATAAAAATATGTACATATTAAAATCAGGATTTCAATAGTTGTTGCTTGTAAGTTACAAATAACAATAATTTTATTTATTTATTTATAGCAATTTTTAACTATCAATAATTAATCAATTTATGTATATATTTTTTATAGTCAAATCAATTAAATGTAATCTATTTGTAAATTATCTGTGAATTTTGATATTTGAATTTAGTTTTGATATTAAACTTTTATTTAAAAGTTTATTATTTTTAAATATTAAAAAAAACTATCTTTTTTTTTGAAAAAAATTATTATTATAAAAAAACTATAAACGTTTTTTTTTTTTATTATTTTTTTTTTGTAAATTTGACATTTAAACTTAAACTTAAGTATTATTTTTAGATATTAACCTATATAATCATTATAATTAATATTAAATTTCAAAAACTATATTTTTTTGAAAAAAAGGTTGTTATTATAAAAATAATTTTTGATGAACTTTTTTTTTTGTTAATTTAACATTTAAGTTGTTTTAGTTTTAAAGATTAACCAATGTAATAAACATTAAATTTCAATGAATAAATTAATTATCAAAAGTTTTTTGAACTGTTGTAATAAGGTAAAAAGGTATGGAAATTTTAAATTCATATAAGGTTCAAGAAAAAAAAATACTTCTTTTTATAATAAATATAATTTTGATTTAGATTTTATATTTAAATTTTTATTATTTTAATTAATTAAAAAACCACCTCTTTCGAAATACGTCATTAGTATATAAAATAGTTTTTTTTGTTAATTTAACTTTTCAATTTAAGTTTTATATTTTAAGATAAACTAATGTAATCCTTATAATTATCGTATCTCAATGAATTGGTTAATCATCATTAATAAAAAAATTATCTATTTTATAATTAGATATATATAGATTTAGATTAAGATATATATAATTTTTATAATTAATAAAAAAAGTTGTCCTTCTTATAATTAGATATATAGAAATTTTACCATTTGAACTATAACCATATTTTTTTTTGTTGGTGATGTAAACCATGCCAACAAATATCATTTTTATTAACAAAACTTTTGGTATAGATTATTGTTTATAATTTTGTTCACCGAATCTGCATCATAAGTGTTTATTCACAAACACTTTCCATATTATGTTTAATTTAGTTTTCACATGGAACATAAAATACTATCTAAAATAAATATATTAATATATAAAATCTACAATACATTTGATGGGAAATTGAAAACCATTTTCAATTAGTAAAGTACAATTAAACATTTTGATAGTAAAAACCTCATTCCTACAACAAAGTTTAATTTTTGATAATATCAAAACATCATATATATATATATATATATATATATATATATATATATATATATATATATATATATATATATAATATCAAATTACTATACAACTTAGTTTAACTTTTGACAATATAAAGAAGACCACTTTAAAATTTGCTAACTAATGAGCTTGCTTATATAGTTTTGTATCTTCCAAAACATCATCTTTCCTCTTTATGATTCAATATGAATACATGTACAAAAAAGTATAGCTTGATGTATTCTATATACTCCATTTTCTCTATCTTATTCAAAATTTCTTTTTTCTACATCTTATTCTCTAAACCCTAACAACCTCAACTATGCTTATGAATTATATATATATATATATATATATATATATATATATATATATGATATCATAAGTATCAATTAATAACCATAATTTGTAAAAAAACTTTTGACTTGTAGTTTTTAATTAGTTTAATGTTGAATTTATAAGTACACATAAATTAGAAAACTCTTAAATTGTAGTGAATGATTATATTTTAGTTAGAAAGACGTTTAAGTTGTAGTGAAATTTTCAAATGAATATGGTGCAAGGAAAATGAGCTCTATTATAGTATAGTATATATATAGAGGTAAGTTCAATTGAGGAAAAAAATGGTTGAAAATGGGGGAATCATTCTCAGCCAATCATACGAGAATACAGATTTGTGCGGACAAGGTTTGAAAACTCAAACCTTGAATTAAATAACGATAATGGTTGCTAGTGATCTTAAGTCCAATCAAGTCTGGATAAACCAGTCAAGTCTCGAATGATATAATTTCAACATAGTGCTCAAGTAAAGTAAAGTAAAGTACGAACAATTAACAATATTAAGAACAAGAAGAATGTTAGAGAGAAATGATTGACGAAATAATTTAGATTTGATTGAAGTGAAGTTGTTACTGTTTACAAGGTTGACACTCCTTTTATAGCCAAGGAGTTATAAAAGACAAATATTGATAAAGTGTGGATGGACTGAACATCACCAGCCTGAAACAATTGTTGTTGTTGATCTTGTTGGTAGTACGACACTAAGTTACAAATAGTAAACAACAAAGAAGTACTTTTGACTTTTGACATAACACTTTGACTAATCTCGGAACAACATAATCTCTGCAATCTATTCTTCTTGAAAACTTCTTCATCGTAGAACATACATTATCTCAGAAATGGACATAAGATCGGATTGACTAAGGGGCACTTTTCATGCACTAACAATATCACCTAAGTGGCCTTATCAATCCTTAGCCGTCCTACTTTGATTCTTCAAAGGCAAAGAGGTAGGCTTTCTGCATCCAGCTTCGGAATTCAATGTACCATTTGAGTTGCTCAACACACTCATTCTTGATTTCTTCTGAAGCATTGTTCTTGTCTGTTTTGGAGATGAATCTGTGAAGAATTGTGGTACGAACCAAATGCTTGTCTCTAACTTTGAAAAAGTCCTTGCTCAAGATTTTCTTCATGTAAAAAAATCCGAGCTCAGGATCTCGGATAGGAGAATTTTGTCAGTTCTTAATAGGTGAGCAAACTCCACATCAGATCTTCCAAACTCAGGAATGTAGTCTTTCAAGTAGTTGAGAGTTGAGTTTTATGCTCATGTGTTGAATTTAGAGGTTTGACGGTCTTTCTGGTGAGCTGCAATAACAAGAATGTGATTCGGATTTATCGAAGGGAAATCGGCATCCGAGATTTTGATTTTTTATTGAGTATTCCGAAAGATGTAATAGTAGTAGATAATGTAGTCGAGATCAAACTTTCCAAGAATCTTCATTCTGAAACCACTGAACTTGGTGATTTTGTACTTGGACCAAGTTTTATCTTGAGGAAAGGCATTGGTAGAATAGAATGTGCTTATTCTTTCTCTCTTAGTTTGGACTAGAGTTTCTTTGTCGTCAGAAGGGTGGAGAGGGGAAAACGTGACATATAACTTGCCATGAGGAGAGATGGGAAGATCCAGTTGCTCGGAGTCATTTGTTGGAAGATCATAGCTTTTGAAAGGAACAAAGTGATCATCATAGATCATTCCTTGAGGATAGTAGGGAGAGATGCCTGAGAAAGGATTAAGATTGTCCTTCAGAGATTGAATTCTAAGGTTCACTTCCATTGTTATGTCAATTTCCTCAAAAGACCAGCCTTCTTTCTTTTTCAATGACTTCTCTAGGTTGATTCTTCCGAAAAGGATTCCTGTGCCTTTGTCTTTCACTGGGGCGTTCGGAGTGGTAGTGGAAGAAATGATTTGTTGTCCAACTGGAGTGATGAAAGCTTCCGAGAATGGATGAATCTGAGGCTGATCAGGTAAGCCATCAGTTTTCTTTAATTGATAGCCTTTATCAACATGCTCTATTCTCAGAGTAGGAATGGGAGGAGGAATCAACCTTGTAGCACTGAAAGAGTCCACAATGATCTTGGTATTGACCTTAGCCATTTATGAACATTGCTTAATGTTCTCAGCTAACATGGATGACCGGTTTAGCCATTTTAGCTTCTCCTATTCCAAGATAGTTTTTATGAATGAAGGTTGCTTATTGACAGCTCTGAGTCCCAGAATTACATTAACCACTAGGTCATTTTCATCAAACTCATCTTCTCTTTCAATTTCTTCTTCATCAGCTTCCTCAATTTCTTCATTCGATGTCTCATCTCAGAGCACATACACTTGCCTTCTTGGTTGAAAATGGCCCGTGCTTGCTCCTTCTCCCCCTCTTGCAACCAGAGCACTGGATGCAAGCTTCATTTTCTCATCCAAATCACTAAGCTTGGAGAAGACCTTCTAAAAGATAACGTTGAAAATCTTGGTGAGATTGTCATAGGCATCGATGTTTGGAGCTTTGTTTTCCAGGGTGGGGAGGTTATTGTGAAAAATTTCCAGTACTTCATCGAACTTGTAATTCGGAATTTTCACAAAGTGTTGGGCAGACCAAATTACCTTGATTAGAACATGTTACATTATCATGTTCAACCCATATTTCTCTCGGATCTCCTTTTCCAATCTTTGAATCTTTTTTTCATGACAGACATGAGTTTACTTGATGAGTACATTGGTAGCAGAGATCATATCATCATGAATCTTTAGCATTGTAGAGGTAATGGAGATGTAGTGACCGAGGTTGTCCTTGTATCTTTGCTCAGATTCTTGTAAGATATGCTTCAACCGGAGAGAGATTAGTTTATCCATTTGGTTTTCTCTGTCAAGTTCCGAGGGAGCAATAGACTTGATCTTGGAAAGAGATTTGATAACCAAATCTAATTTTGAGTCAAGTGCTCCGACCTGAGCATTGAAATTTTTGATCTTTGAATCGACTTTATCAACTTTGTCTTGAAGTTCCAAAAGATCAAACAAATCAGCAACTTGTTCATCAGAGGATCCTGTGTCCGAGCTAGATCATTAGGACTTCTCATCATCATCATCGTCATCATCGTTTCCATCACCTTGATTATCTTGAGTTTGATTACCTTGATCACCACCCTTATCCTTAAAAATCACGTCGCCTGAGGACGAGGATAACCCGAAGTCAATTTGAACTTTTGAGGAGGATTGTATCAGAAAAGGAAATGCACTTTGTGAGGGAAGAGAAGAAACTGAGGTAGAATCATCTTCAAACATAACTTCAACAGTGGGGTTGTTCCGAGGAGGTTCCAATATGAAAGTGGAATCGGGCACATCTCAACTTGGAGTCTTCTTAGTTGCGTTGGTCGATGGATCATCCGTGTTACCGGGCACATCATCGATTTTTGGCTTTTCTAAAGCAGACAGAAAAGAGTCAATTTTTGAATATGTGGGACGCATCATTGTGAGATTGCTACGAAGTGCGCATTGTCTCATTCCATGCAGCACAAACTCCATTAGATTTCTTGTCAGATCTGGATGCCTGAATTGAACCTTGTCAAGTGTTTTATTCTAATTATCATAAGTAACACCCAAGTGTCCTTTATATGTGGTGGATATCGGCTCAGTTGAGGCTTCCGATGTGGGACGCATCATTGTGAGATTGCTACGAAGTGCGCATTGTCTCATTCCATGCAGCACAAACTCCATTAGATTTCTTGTCAGATCTGGATGCCTGAATTGAACCTTGTCAAGTGTTTTATTCTAATTATCATAAGTAACACCCAAGTGTCCTTTATATGTGGTGGATATCGGCTCAGTTGAGGCTTCCGATGTCGGAGGGACAACTCCTAGTTCGGAAAGCTTAAGAACTGTGGCATAGGCCCCAGTTCGTGCTTGTGTAGAAGAAAAAGGGATATCAATGACTCGTGTATGTTCCATGGGGATGCACGGAACTTTATTCAATGCCAACACCATCCTTTTGAAAGGATGGGGGCAGATCATGTGCAAAATCCGTGTGTGTGTGCATGTGGTATTGAGAGTCCAAAGGGTACTTCAGAAAAATGGGAAGGTGGGGTAGGCAGAGACCTAGAGTCAGGTTCAGAATGGATCTGTGAATCCTTTTGATAGGATTCACTGGTTTTGGATCTCTTTTTGGTTTTGGATCTCTTTTTGGTTTTGGACATGGAAGGGGATCTGTCCTCTTCTTAGCAATCTTATTTTGTCTGCCACCAAATAAAGCATGTTTATTATATTCCGAGGGCTGAACATTTGAGGGGTAGGAATGAATGGGTCAACCAATTTCAAAACCTCAAGATGTTTTTCTTTAAATGGAGAGTTGGAAGGGAGTGATTCCAACATGTGTTGAGGCATGCATCAAATAGGACAGAAAGATGATTGGTTCAGAAGACGATAAGTTTTAGTAACTTTAAAAGTGCAATATACCTCAAGCGAGTCGGACATCAAGGGAAAGGGTTCACGTCGATCAGTGTAGATCTATTGAAGAGTGAGAGCCCAAAATCTCTGAATCGAGATCTCATTAGGTTTCCGACGGATGACAAACTTTCGAAAATCCTACCATAATACTTCCAGTAGGTCGACGTCATTAGTTTTTCCGGTGTAGATGATGTAAACTAAGTAGAGCCAATCCTTGCTCATGGAGTCAGATCCTCCATGTTTTCCAGATAAACATTTCATCGCCATATGCATCAAAATAGTCCATGGTCCTGGAACATATGACTTTTTGAGCTCTTTAGATTTGTAGACCCCCTACGAAGCCAATGTGGTTCGAAAACTGTTGGAATTCTTCTGCAGTTAGATCGACGGCTTGAAAAACTTTAGGATTTGTGGAAACCCCAGTAACTCTGAGAAATTTTTCCTTAGTAACATGGACAATCCTGTCATCAGTGAGATAACACTCAAGAACATCATTATCAATCTTTATATGTTCAATGGCTTTGTGAAGTAAACACAGTGGGAAGTTAGAGTTTGGGATTTTGGTCAAAGGATCTGAAATGGGATGGAGCGAGATGAACTCGATCATGACTTGAATATATTTTTCATAATTGTTTACATCAAATAAAAACAGTTGTGTTGTGTCCATCAACATGGGTGCATCTGAAGAAGACGATGCAAAACCCTTTTATGATTTCTTCTTTGATGGAGGTGTAGCTGTTTTGGGAGCCACTGTTGAATGCTTGAGGATGAACACGAAGAACACAAAGTAAGGAAGAAGTGTTCTAGGCAAAAAGAAAGATAAATATCATAAATAGGGAACGATTTAGTATTCAAAATCCTTATATAGGTGGGTTATTTTCGGATCAGGTCAAAAGAACAATGATGACACCCGAATCAGAAAAAGGGTTGTATTTAATGTTTGGGTCTAAATTTAACCCCTATGTGATAGTTAACAACCATGGTGAAAAGACTTTGTTTGTGCTAAAAAGGGTAACTGTCGATTCGGAATCATAAAATCACTCAGTAATTTATTGAAATGCGTGCCGAATCATGTTTATTTGGACTAAAGGATAATAACCGTTGGATAAAAATTTTGGCCATTTCAGAAAACATAGTTAATGATAACGTTAAAATCACATTTATTGGTTAATAAAGAGAGATCTCAGAATAAAGAAATTCCGAGATGAACTAACATAAGATACTTTCAAGAATTGGTAAATTAATCACTAATGATTGACATTGATCCGAGAAGTGGCACAGTTTCAAGAATGGATATTAGAAACAAAAGTTACATGGAAGATCTTAGTCAAACGTTTAAAAGAGATTTGAGAGATTCCGAGAGCCAAAAGATTAGAGCTCAGAGAAGAGATGAAATGAAATCACATTACCAATTTGGATCTGAATCTGAGATGAAGTTATTATACATAACGAAAAGTGAAATTTCGGATCTCAAGATCTCTGACGAAAGATATTTCGGATGCAACTTTGAAGATAATGAATCATTAACCTGATAGCTTAAAACTAAAAGAAAGGTTAGACAAAAATAAATATAGTGATCCTTTATTTTCCGAGAAGAAACAGTTCCGAAGTGAAAAATGTTTAGGTCAAAATTATTTGACTTTCCGATGTTTCCATCAGAGAGTACAGACTTCTGGGAAAAATTGAGGGTCGGACATCCTAATTCCCATTTTGTTCAGAAAACCATTAAATTTTGTTTCGTCTAATGACTTAGTAAAGACGTCAGGAATCTCATTGTTAGATGGAATAAAAATAAGCTCAATGTTACCGTTTAAAACATGATCGTTAATGACATTGTACTGGATATCAATGTGTTTGGTCATGGAGTGTTGGATCGGATTATGAGAGATCGCGATAGCACTATGAGAATCACAGTAGATCGGAATCTGCTGAAATCAGAAACCATAGTCTAACAACTGAGATTTCGTCCAGAGAACTTGAGAGGTGCAACTTGCAGTAGCTATGTATTCCGCTTCAGCTGTTGAAAGTGCTATGCAATTCTGCTTTTCGGATGACCATCTAACTAGTCTTTCACCCAAAAATTGATAAGCACCAGATGTGCTCTTTCGATCAAGTTGAATTCTACCATAATTTGAATCCAAATAAGCTTGCAACAAGAAGCTTTCATTTGCATGGTACCAAATTTCGAGGCTCTTTGTTACTTTAAGATATCGAAAGATTTGTTTCACAGCCAAAAGGTGAGACATCTTCGGATTAACATGGAATCTAGCACAAATTCATGTCGAGAACATAATGTATGGGCGACTTGCAGTGAGGTATAGCATTAATCCAATAATTCCCCTATACTTCTTCTCATCAAAGACTTCACCAGATGGGTCTGAGAAAATCTTGTGTCTGAACCCCATTAGAACTTTTGCAGATGCATAAGTGTCCATTGCATATTTCTTCAGAATTTCGGAAGTGTATTTATCTTGGTGAATGAAGATTCCTCAATTTGTTTGTTTGACTTGCAATTCGAGAAAGAAGCTTAATTCACGATTCATGCTCATTTGGAATCGGCTAACCATCAGTTTGGAAAAGTCAACAACCATCGTCGGATCAGTTGATCCAAAGATGATGTCATCGACTTATATTTGAACTAACATGAGATGATTTATGTAAGA